TTACAACACTGGAAATACTTAATATTAATACTTGTTCAAAAGTCAAAAAATCCTCAGTATAAAAATAAAGCTAAAATGTCATCATATTGAACCTATCCTATTAATGATGAGACAACATCTTAAAAAATATTCTAATTAATTAATTAAATATTGTGACTATTGTCCAAAACAGGAGTTTCCACTCGCGTGTTGCCACACGAGCGTAGTCTCGCCAAGGAATCTCCTTTTTCTTCCACTACCTGCACAATATACTATTAATTGAACAGGTATGTTTCATGTCTACATACATAAATGAAAAAAGTTGGTCTTTTCTGTAAACCTGCAAAGTAAATCATTATTCCTGTTACAGTACCCTTATATAAATACAATGAGCGTTCCGAAAATTGAATTAAAAAACACGTAAAGAGTAATTCAATTTATGATTTAAACTTTTTTTTGGGTTCAATTGATATTTTTAACCAAATCTCAGTTTAAAATTTTTAAAAATTGGACGCTTTATCACTCACTTTTGTAGACCAAGTTGAAATTGTGAACATAATAAAATTTGGCCAAAACAATGTGGCTAAAACCTATATTAATTATTATTACATTATGTATAGGTATGAATACTACTGGTTTCATTAACAATTCTGTGGGTAAAAGGCATAAGGGGATAAGTCAAAAAAAGAAATTTTTCAATAGAGTTCGCATTAATTCAGGAAATATATTTCTCGATTTTTATGTAAGAATGTCATATTCTCGCACGCAAAATCGTTGAAGAATGAAGCTCATTCTTAAACGATTTTTGGTAACATTTAGTTTTTAAGTATTGGTACCCCCAAAATGTCAAACTGATTAATAACCTCAAATTCATTACTTTTATTGAAAATGAAGCCTTTATTATTGTTTTGTAATATAAAGTTTGCTCCAACAATGCATTTTAATGCAAAATTTTAAGTTTAATGTGTAAAAGTGCAGTTCAGGTTGTACTTGTGCAGGATAACAAATATTGTCATTTTGTGTTGCCAACTGACATTTTGCGAGAAAAATCCCCTAACTAACAACGACCACAAAACAATTAAAAAAACCTAAATAAAAGTTAAAATCGAGAAAATAGTATAAATCACACGTTGCAGAAGGCTATTCTCGCACTCATTCGTTCGTCCACTCGCTCCTTCGTCGCTCGAGGCCAAATTTCGAATTCGTGCGAGAATATGTGGCCTTCTGCAACTTGTACTTTAATATACTATTATGTTTAGCGGGTATACGCTTTTGTTAGCATATGACATGTGCTAACAAAAGGGTATACCCGCTAACCATAAATATGTTTCCTGAATTAATGCGAAAACGTTTAAGGCTCTACTGAAAAGTTGCTTTTTTTGACTTATCCCCTTATGCCTTTTACCCACAGAATTATTGGTATACATAATTTAATAGATGTCTCGATGGTGTGGATCCACTGATTATCCAGCCCACAAAAAAAAAGTGGAATAAACTTTACATCTGAGTATACTACCTCTATGGGGTATTGAAGTTATTGAGCATTTAGATTTCTAAGCCAAAAAACCAAACACCTAATGGTTGTTGAAAAAACACAATATTAATAATAAACATGGCATCGGCGAGTTAACATTGTTAACAGATATATTGGCTCAGGCCTCGACCAAGCTTTAAAAACTTAAACTTGGCTTCCAAGTCTCTGCTTAAGCCAGACTTTCAAAACCAAGTTTCTGACCAAGCTTCAGCCAAAGACCAATTCCTAGCTTTCAAGTCTGTGACCAAGCCCCGGTCAGGCTTTCAAAACCGAGTCTTGGCTTCCAAGTCTCTGACCTAGCTTTAGCCAGACTTTCAAAACCAAGATTGACTCTATAGAAAAATTATTGTTGCTATGTTATAAGATAATTTAGAAGTTGGGGTGAAAATATAAATAATATGTACCTACAAAACGTTGTATATAATTAAATAAATTAATGTAGGGTTGGAAAAAGAATTTTATAAAAAAGTCAGACTTTTTTAATTAATTCACTTATTATATATTTTTTTAATTAACAAAATACAAACTTAATTATTATAATAATAATATTTATTATTATTTAATTATTATTTTAGTTTTAATTATTATTTTACTCTTAGATTACAAGATTTTAGTTTTATTTTTTTTATTCTCTAAATTTAATAAGAGGGAAACATTATTTTTTTACACGTTTTCCGATGCAATTAAATAAGAAGTAAAAATTTAAATTAATTCGTGATATTTTATTTTATTGCCTCCATGTAAACTTACAATCCTATCAATCAATCTTTGAAAAAAAGTTTGGGTACCAGATAATCCGTAATACCTTGAAATGTTTAAATGCTTCTTTTTCTGAAAAAAAAAACTACTTAAATAAGAAATTTAAAATAAAGATGTAGTTGCATATGTGTCCATTATAAGCGTTATCATTATAGAGTTTTTCGCAGATTATCAGCAGGGCTTTTTAAAAACTGTAAAGCCAAAACAAAATTATATTTTACGACCCCGTCGCGGCGACCGGTATGGTATGTATTGTATTTTCGGTGCGTCGTGGTGCTGGCCCACGACCATAAAGAAAATGTTTACGACTCGACGACCCGTTATATTACCGATTTTTCCATACACATTGTAAATATTTCGCTTTATACGACCTAAAGGACTCGTCCAAAATGGCAATATACTTTGTTTTAAATATTTTTCGCTTTCCAGATAGAATATCATTTAGACTAAATATGATTATATTAGATATGGTATGGGGGAGAAAAATATTACTGTGTAAATGTATTTCATTTTTTATGCTGTATCTAATAAAATATATTAAAATATAGTATAAGGGTAAGATAAAAAGATTTTGGTTCAACATATAAATTGTTGTTAGTTTATATATACTTTATTTGTAAACAATAAAGGGTCTCATATACAGGGTGCACCAAATATCCTTTTATTTTTTTGAAGAGCTACATTGAAATTTTCTAGGTTGCTACATTTTCTCATAGGTTTGACGTTTGACATATGTAATATTATAGGCTGTGTATTAATTTATTCTACAGTGTCCTGTAATATTTAGTTATTAACACTTAACTGCGATAGATGGAACCACTCTTTTATGTAATTCCACTTGCATTATTGTACGGCGGTGTATAATAATTTGACTAATGATCTGAGTACAAAAATTAAGTATTTCCATATGCCTATATGGAAAGACTACGACTTCGACTATGAGTGTTATAATATAAAAATTATTATACGCTTGTAAAAATAATTAATATCAATAATTCCTTACTTTCAAATTTGATATATAAAATAAATATAAATAAATATATATATATATATATATACAGGGTGTTTCATAATATATGCGCAGGACTTCAAGATGTGATAGCTCATCCAAAAAGATGAAAAAAGTCGCTATTAAGTTACGCTCTAAAATGCACTATTTTCGAGATACAGGGTGTTGAAATTTTAGAAAAAAATTCGTTTTTTTCGAATATCTCCGGAACCATTTATCGTACAAAAAACAGCTTTTGTAAGCATTTTCTACTCAAAATAAGCTATGTTTTGTGCTAGAAAAATTTTTTTTTCCTCATAATTGATGGAGATTTTGAAGGGGTAGCGGGTGTTTTTCTCCCCAACTTCTACGCCCCTGAAAAAAGTACGGTTTTGAGAGGCCCATTCGAACCTCCAATGTTTTCTACACAAAAAAGGTACTTCTGGTCATAAGCTCTAAAGTTGACCGTTTTCGAGAAAAATCAACTTTTCTGTTTAAAAACATGGTCAATTTAAAAAAAAAATATTTTTTTTTTACTAATTAAACAAAATTTATTTTAACGTTAGGACAAGTAACAAAACCAAACCATAATTGCAAAATAAAAAATGATTTAAAAGTTGTCTTTGCTTAATTCTCCAAACCGTAAATGTAACGCATTTCGCACATTTCAGCATTTGAGTAAAAAATCATTTTTTATTTTTTTTTTAATTTTGCAATTATCGTTTGGTTTTGTTACTTTTTCTAACGTTAAAATAAATTTTGTTTAATTAGTAATAAAAATTTGTTTTCAAAAAATTTACCATGTTTTTAAACATAAAAGTTGATTTTTCTCGAAAACAGTCAACTTTATAGCTTATGACCAAGAGTACTTTTTTTCTGTAAAAAACATTGGCGGTTTGAATGGGCCTCTCAAAACCGTACTTTTTTCAGGGGCGTTGAAGTTGAGGAGAAAAACACCCGCTACCCCTTCAAAATCTCCACCAATTATGAGTAAAAAAAATTCTGGCACAAAACATAGCTTATTATGAGTAGAAAATGCTTACAAAAGCTGTTTTTAAATACGATAAACGGTTCCAGAGATAATCTAAAAAAACGATTTTTTTTCTAAAATTTCAACACCCTGTATCTCGAAAATTGTGCATTTTAGAGGGTAAGTTAATAGCGACTTTTTTCATCTTTTTGGATGAGCTATCACATCCTGAAGTCCTGCGCATATATTATGAAACACCCTGTATATACAGGGTGGGCCAATGGAAAGTTTCCACCCGGTTTTCTCAGGTGTTACGAAAAAAAATAAAAAACGCTCGCACCCGTCGATTTCTGATTTGAGGGGGACAATTTATTTTTATATTTTCAACCCCTTAACTTCAACCCCTGAGCGTGGGTGAAAGTTACCCCCAAAATTTGAATAGGAAAAGGGGGTCGAGTGATACTTCTTTTTGAAGGTATTTTTGCCCTGATTATACCCTCCAAGTTTAAACTCGCTGCTATCATCCCCATTAATATGAGAGCTTGTTAAAATCTTGAAAATTGGCTATTATTTTAGTAAGAGTAAAAGCGATACTTTTGAGACGGTCTGTAGGTATGCTGAAGGAATGAAGTAAATATTAGCAAAACATCAGTTTTTTTACGTTTGAAGAAAAAAATGTGTTTTTTGTAAACTTTATTTACACAATATTGTCGCACAATCATCATTAAGATTATTATCGTTAGTTCGAGAGCTTATAACTAAATTTAATTATGGTATACACTATAGCCGAGCGAGTTGAATTAGTTTATACTTATTTCAAAAACAATGACTGTGCAAGACAAACAGCACGACTATTTAATGTAAGACATCAGGACAAAAATGTCTCTCATACTTATATTAGGAAACTGATGGTAAAGTTTTTGGAAACTGGAACAGTGGAGAACAAAAAAGATAATCCGATTCGTGTCGTTAGGAATGAAGGTATGCAAATCGTAGTCATAGGGCACATTGCAATGGATAACACCTTCAGTACTAGGCAATTATTGTCCGAAGTTTCCGGCATATCACGAACAAGCGTAAGGAGAATTTTGAAGGTTCACAAATTTTACCCCTACAAGATACAATTGCTTCACGAACTTAATGAGGATGATTATGATCGACGATTACAATTTGTAGAAGAAATGAGTGAACGGTGTGTTGGCAATCTAAATTTTCTTTATAATGTCTGCTTTTCAGATGAATGCTCCTTTTTTTACATGGATTAGTCAATCGACATAATTGTCGATACTGGAGCGATTCAAATCTGCATTTATTTAGAGAGTCTTATACTCAAAATCCTGAAAAGTTAAATGTCTGGGCAGGTATTCTAGGCAATAACATAATTGGACTATTCTTTTTACAAGGCAATTTCACTGAGGCTATGTATCTGACTTTACTTGAAGAAAATATTGTTCCTAGAATAAGGGAAGTTATTGCTGAAGATAATAATTTGTCGCAAAATGAAATGTTTTTTCAACAAGATGGAGCCCCACCGCATTATGCAGCACCCGTTCAGCAATTTCTAAATGAAAATTTTAGAGACCATTGGATTGGCCGAAGAGGACCTATTGAGTGGCCTGCAAGGTCCCCTGATCTTTCACCTCTGGACTTCTTTCTATGGGGCCATTTGAAGTCTAAAATTTATAAAACACAGCCAGCTTCTCTTCAAGTTCTACAAGAACGAATAACTAAAGAGTGTCAAAGGATAACTACCGATATGTTGCAGAATGTTAGAGAAGAGGTAGAGAATCGATTTTATTATTGCATAAATGTTAATGGAGGACATTTTGAACAGTTTATTAAATAAATATCATGTAAATAACTTTTTATTAATAATAATAAAACTTTATTTAGTAGATATTTTTATTAAGGAAGGTAAGTATTGTTTTTACTTATAATAAAACGTGATCTATTTCCAAGATTTTAACAAGCTGTCATATCAACGGGGATGCTAGCAGCGAGTTCAAACTTGGAGGGTATAATCAGGGCAAAAATACCTTCAAAATGAAGTATCATTCGACCCCCCTTTCCTATTTAAATTTTGGGGGTAACTATCACCCACGCTTAGGGGTTGAAGTTAAGGGGTTGAAAATATAAAAATAAATTGTCCCCCTCAAATCAGAAATCGACGGGTGCGAGCGTTTTTTATTTTTTTTCGTAACACCTGAGAAAATCGGGGTGGAAACTTTCCATTGGCCCACCCTATATATATATATACAGGGTGGCCGATTTATCTGAAGACATTAAAATATTTCGAAAACTATGCATCGGATCAAAAAAAGTTTTGAATAAAATTTGTTCGCCTGGAAGGGGGACATCCAATGATACCAAAGTCGACCCCTCACCACCACCCCATGGGGTGGGGGTGGGGGCAACTTTAATATTCTAAATAGGAACCCCCATTTTTTATTGCAGATTCGGATTTACTATTAAAAAATAAGTAACTTTTATGGAAAAACTTTTTTTTAAATTCCTGATAGATGGCGCTGTAATCGCGATTTTTGGGAATATCTTGAAAAATTGCAGATTCGGATTTCCCATTAAAAAATATAATTAGTGTATACGAGAATTGCAAGGGAATTCAAAATAAATTAAATTAATTAATTCCTTTTGATGTTCCCATGTTCCCATGGCCATGGGGTGGGGGTGGGGGCAACTTTAATATTCTAAATAGGAACCCCCATTTTTTATTGCAGATTCGGATTTACTATTAAAAAATAAGTAACTTTTATGGAAAAACTTTTTTTAAATTCCTGATAGATGGCGCTGTAATCGCAATTTTTGGGAATATCTTGAAAAATTGCAGATTCGGATTTCCCATTCTTGGGTAATTTTAAAAATAGATGTTAACTTATTGATATACGAATAAAATCCAAAAATTAAACAAGTTTTTCTTTTTTTCGATCCGATGTGTAAAAATCGGGTTTCTTGCGATTACAGCGCCATCTATCAGGAATTTAAAAAAAGTTTTTCCATAAAAGTTACTTATTTTTTAATAGTAAATCCGAATCTGCAATAAAAAATGGGGGTTCCTATTTAGAATATTAAAGTTGCCCCCACCCCCACCCCATGGGGTGGTGGTGAGGGGTCAACTTTGGTATCATTGGATGTCCCCCTTCCAGGCGAACAAATTTTATTCAAAACTTTTTTTGATCCGATGCGTAGTTTTCGAAATATTTCAATGTCTTCAGATAAATCGGCCACCCTGTATATATATAAATAAATATAAATAAATTATATACATATAATAATAATAATTTATTCATCAGTAAAACAAAATTACAAAATAAATTTTGCCTATATGACTAGTCACACAAAAATTAGTAAAAATAATGACACTTAATATTAAATACTATAACATATACAAAAATAAAATTTAATGATAAAATTAAAAAGAATCCTTAAAAAATTCTTCAACAGAATAGTACATTTTATTTAAAAAAATAGTGTGTAATTTTTTCTTTAAAATATTAATATTTTTACAAGATAAAATAACATTTGACACATGATTATGACATTTTATTCCCTGATAAGCAAAGGCTTGAGAGACTGACAATCTGGAATAAGGCAAATATATATATACCTATAGGTTTTTATTACCTCTTGTACCATAACTATGCATATCCTTTGTTTGTATAAATAAACCTTTATTTTCTTCAATGTATATAATTAAATTGTAAATAAATAAACAGGGTAGTGTTAAAAATGAATATTTTTTAAATAACGGTTTACACGAATATGATGGACTTTTAGTATCTAGACATCTGATAAGTTTTTTTTGTAATAAAAATACTCTTTCAAAGTGAGCTGAAACACCCCAAAAAATAATACCATATGACAATACAGATTGAATTACGCCAAAATACATTAATCTCAATACAGGAAAGGACACTGTGTCTCTAAGAGACCTTATTAAAAAACATAAGGAGCTTAATCTCTTACATAAAGAATTTATATGTGGTTCCCAAGTCAATTTTGGGTCCAATGTTATCCCCAAGAATTTTTCTGAATCGCAGGCTGGAATTGATGAACTATTAATGTTTATGTATAGGCTAGAATCAAGCCTTGCATTTTTTGGAAAAAATTGCATAAAGTTTGTTTTATTAACATTTAAAAGTAATCCATTTTGTTGACACCATTTACTAAACTGATTTGACACCAAGGAAGAGTTTGTGGAAAGATTTTTCACTTCTTTATCCCTAAGCAAAACATTTGTATCATCAGCATACAATACAAATTTAGCTTGTTCATTAAATAAGACAGATATGTCATTAATAAACATAACAAAAAACAAAGGCCCCAGAATTGACCCCTGTGGAACCCCAAGTAAGACTTTTTCACACCTTGATTGTGCATTTAAAAAAAAAAACAATCTGAGTTCTGTCGGATAAATAAGAGGAGACCCACTTAAGCGGTGGACCCCGTACACCTACGGATTCAAGTTTTTTGAGCAAAAGTTTATGAATAAGCCCACCATTTGCTGCTTATTATTGAGACCTTCATATATAAAATTAAGGGCATAGCGGTATGTGTGGGTATTATAATATTCGTAGGTAATAGGTGTGTCAAGTTTTACGCAAAAATAAAAATTCCGAACATTACCAAATTTTTTGACAGTTAAACTTCTTGTTATAAAACCGTTAAGGTAGTTGGTTCATAATAACACAACCGTGCTATACAGTCATAGACAGATGATAGTGTACCGGCATATAAAATGTCACGTCAATTACGATAATAATTATCTATGATTACGATTTTAGAAAAATTTATACGAAAAGCATATAAAAGTATATAAAAAGGGGTCTTGGCAAACGTTTATTATTTGTTGAAGCTATGAAGAATGCAATAGTTATAACTTGTTTTGGGATTAATTTAGATAATTACAGTATAATACATATTATATAAGTAAACCTTAATTTGGATTTAAAAGAGTGTATAAACAGGAAAAGTTTAAAAGTTAAAAAAATACTTGTGAAGCCAATTAAACTTTAATTTGCATAACATAAAAATAATACTTTATAATTGTAGAAAATTATATAATAAAAGCTTTAAATTATTATTTTATTTTATTTATTATGGTAATTAGCATAATCATAATGATTTTAATCCCTTCGAAACACATTTTTGTGAACATTAAAAGCACTTTTCAAGATATTTTGCCCCCTTCAAAGTACAATTATAAAATTGTGTACCTATTTGAAGAACTTTTTTTATTTGAAGAACTTTTTAAATAGGTATTTTAGATTCCTTGAGCACTTTTTTAGCTATAGTTTACTCCATTGAGGGCCGGTTTATCAATGTCCAGTTAAAGTTGCAGTTAGTTATCTGTTAGATAATTTCCATGGATACCATTGTTCTCACAACGACCTATATGAAATTTAACTGTCAGATAGACTAACTGGAACTTAACTAAGGATTGATAAACCGGTCCTGAGGCACTTTTTTAAATTGTGATATTCTGTTTTTTATAATTCAATTCCCCAAAGCACTTTTAAATGTTATTGGACTTTTAAAGTAATTTTAATTATAAATCTTGTTCCATATTATGAACACATTTCTTATTGATAAATGACCCTCTATGTGAGTTTATCATATATTTATAAATAAAACTCTAGATTTTGTTTCATAAATTCTAAAAAAAAAAAATTGTATGATTGTAATATAAAGTAACCATTGATTAATAATGTTTTACTCTCTAAAAATGAAATAGTCAAAATTCTACTATTTGAATTAGTACCAGCATTTTTTATTAATAAAATAGTCGTTTTCCCTTTTAAATAGTTATTTTTTACTACGTAAACGTAAAGTTTGACTAATTTAAGATTAGTCACCATCTTTGACTATTTCTGAGAGTTAAAAATAACTAATTTCTTTAATCGTTTGCGGCCAACAACAAAGTATTATTTGAATTAAATGCATATACCTAAGCTCCATGGTTAAATGACCCATAAAAACAAATAAAGATGCAAAAAGTTTAGCTTAAAACAGCAACACAAATAATATATTCAAGTTTAAATATAATAAACAATATTTATTGACAAATAAAATTAATTTTTATAATAGCGGCTGATGGCCGAATGGGTTATGAGTCATAAGCATAAGCATAACTTATGACAACAGCTTGACAATCTTGACAAGTGACAGATCTGAGTTCAATCCCCGGCTGGGTCAAAACTTTTTTTTAAGTTTAAATCTACTAATTTTACTATTTTATTCAGTAGAATTTGACTAATTATTAGTGACTGCTTTTTCGCTATGACAATTGGTCAAATATGACTTATAATTAGCTATTTTTGACTAATTCATTTTAAGAGAGTATGTACAATAAATTTAATAAAATCAAACTGTGGTATAACGTTTTAAATGAATATCCAACATGTGTTTTTTGGTTATGATCTTCAAAGTATGTTTATAAATCGTTTAAAATTAAGATAGTTTACTTACTATTGGCATAAAGTTAAAATTTAAAACATAATTTTATAAACTTAATACTAAAATGGTTTTATATCAAGGATAAAAGTTTGAACTGTCATTCGAAACTTATGTCATACTGAGCAGTCTTGCCAGACTGCCTTTTTGTTCGCTTGGATTATATAAAAAAGTCAATCTTTTCCTTTATATATCACAATAATTAAACGGTCAGTAATTTTTATTTTCGTTTCAAAATATAAATATAACATAACAAAACAAATATTTCACGTTAGCCTAGTTTTTTAGCCAAATCACTCGACGCGTGGTGAAATTACCACAATTTTTAAAATCGATTATTACCAAAACTAAACGGTGAAAAATTTTAAAATGAGTAAG